AGAAGAAGAAGAAGAAGAAGAAGAAGAAGAAGAAGAAGAAGAAGAAGAAGAAGAAGAAGAAGAAGAAGAAGAAGAAGAAGAAGAAAGAAAGAGAACCTAGACATGATTGCAGAATACTTGGAGCTCTGTCTGTTAACCCCAGTTCGCACCAGAGGCAAGACTGACCATCTTCATAGGCACCACACTGAATATATCCTGAAGATCAAGATGTGTCACTTTAGGAACAGCGTATACCCCCAACCACGCAGAATGAACCACAGCTTGGGATATGAACAAGGCACAAGACAGGAAAAGCCACTGCCCAGTGGGCAAAGGGTCAATTCTCTGTGGAAGCTGCCTGTGTGTCCAGCAAGCCTTCTTCTGCCCATCTGAGCCCTCCAGGCACTGAGGCCTAGGTCACGTAGAAGGAGTGACAAGGCTTCTTACACAATAACTTCATAGCTTCTAAAACTGCACATACTGAACATAACCTGACTTTCTCTTGACAACCTGTACAACAGAATTAGAATTTCAGAACTTCAAAGAACCTCTAAGATTATCAAGTGCAATTCCTGACCCAAACCTGAACTACCAAATCAATCACTGTACTTAGCTTCGTACTAGACCAGTCTTGGACTGTCAGCTTCCAAGCTTCAACATCCCAGAAGAAAAGAACTCTAGCTGTTGATTTTAGTAGTTTTGTGCCATTGTTTTATTTTATGTCCTTTCCCAGCTGAGTGAGGTACAACTGTAGCCTTGTGTGTGCACCTCGTGAGGGACCTGCCGCTGAGTCATCTCCTGCCCTGTACTCCAGGAGAACAGAAAAGTGAGTCTGCTCAAATATCTTCAAAAGGAAGAACAGATCAAGACAAAAATTATTCCTGCCTAAGAGCAAGAGCTTGCCTTCTCCTCCTCTGAGTTAATTTTCTAGATAAGTGGCCTCCATATAAGTGAAGTGACAGTATATATGCTAGCAATTTCCTTTTCAAGGTAATACAGGCCCTTGCAAAGCGAAGTCGACACCAATAAGTGCCATAACTGTACTCAGTTTTCATTAATCTCTTGAAATTTTTCATGAAACTAGGAGATGTAAATATTCAGAATGCATGCAGTAAGTAAGAGGCTCCTGAACTATATAGTGAGCAGGGAAGTATATTCATTCCTAGAGAAGAGGAATATGCAATTAAATAAGCTACTTAGAATTGTGTGTAAAACTGGCTAAATTAACAAGGTATCTGATTTCCTGAAAGTGATTGCATCCAATAAACAGAAAGAAAAGGAGAGAAGCTGTTCATGTCATAGTAAAAGGTAGCTGTCTTGATTTGTTCACTGCATGGAGTGAATACAGACAGAAACTCAGAAGGAGATACACAGATGCGCCGACTCTCATGAGGAAAACAACACAAACCATGTAAGAGAATTCTATCATATTAGGAGCCATAATTTCTCAACCTTTGTGCAGGGAAGGAGGAGAATCTTAAATTTTCCATTTCTCAGTCTTTATGATCTAAAATTAAGGACTATTAAAATAATTTCTTAACATTTCAAGAACTAAATTTATTTGGCTGATTCAATATATGAAAATGTAACTTCCAAAAATAGAATATGCCTGCTTACCCAGGCTTCCTTACCCTTCATGGAGGACTTTATTTCTTGATTTGGTGAGTAGGGAAAATGGTTTCCCTTCATGCAAAATGCCACCAGAGATAAAACACCTGAGAACGAGGCTGTGATGAGCCACGTCCTTGCTGGGCCTCTGCACAGGGATATCTGGCAGGTTCCCAGTGCGTGCGCAGTTCAACACCTTAAAGATGCTTTGAAAGAGCTTTTCTAGTGCTCAGGCCCAAGGGTATTGCTTCCCTAGCAGCACTGTCAAATATACAAACTGTGCTGTTAGCACAATTTGCTAAGAGGTCAGAGACAGAGAGACAGAGACACACAGCCAGCGAGATAACAGTACAATTATATTACTTTAAATATTGGTTCTCTTCTCTTTTTAGCTGAGGAAAGGTTCTAATGAGGTTCTTGTCTCTAACATTATAGCACTTTTCTCTATAATGTTAATCAGGTTTAAAATAATTATCTAAATTTCATTTTCATTTTATTTTATTCTTTTTCACATTTAATTCAATCTGACTATAAACTTCTGAGTTCACATTTTATAGATAAAACAGTTTTTCTGAGTTCTTCTGCATGCCCTTACCATCACTTTATTCACTGCAAATTTGCCAGTTGAGGGATTTGCATAAACTAGGAAAGATACTGCAATGAAAATTCCTGAGCCAGAGAGATAGCTCAGTGGACTAAGCATCTGCTTAGGCAAGCTCAGGGACCAGGATTCAATCCTTGGCACCACATGCCATCCAGCCCCCAGACATGCTGAATGGGATCACTGACCAAGTATGGTGGCACAGGCCTGTAATCCCAGTTCTGGGGAGGCTGAAAACAGGAGGATCACTATGAGTCTGAGCTGCATAATGAGACTCTGTACCACATACATAAAAAAAGAAAATTCCTGAAAAAATACTACATGAGGTAAGCTAGAGTAAGCCATTTTATTTTTCCAGAAGACACCGTGATAGACTGTGCCCCACAACACCCCAGACATAAATACCTGCAGGTACTGCTTTTCTGCATCACTTCTGCCCTGTGATAGCCAGACAGTTTGCAAAATCCATCATTGCTGTACACGATAGGCCAGTCCACTATCTGGGCATTCCCCAGCACAAAGTTAGTATCTGTTCAAAAAAAGAAGGGGAAGGGCACATGAGATTCAATACGACATGAATAATGTCCATCAATCCAGCCATTCCTACTTCCCTTTAAAACAAAGTTTCTTGAACAGAAATATGGCCCTGTGAACCTGTGAGGAATACAAATGGTCAGTGCTTTAGAACTGAATATTTTGAATACAAATACTAACTAGGGTAACTATAATCCAAGAACAAGGTAGTAAAGGGGGTAAAGGGGTATGATTTACCAATTCACCAGCCAATAAATCCTGCAGAAATTCACTAGATTCCTATGAGACATAGTTAAGTCCTACCTAATTTTTTCATTCTAGTGGACGAAAACCAAAAATAATTTCTTTTGGGCATTGTCCAGTATCTTAGCCTTGTCAGTCCTGTGGCCAAAAGATACACGATGGCTTTATTAATCCTGTTTAACATTTGCCCATTCTAGGAGAAAGTCTTCCTGAGGCAGAGAAGAGGCCTCAGAGAGCAATCACTCTGTAGGGAAACCTCTCCTCTATGCGGAAGAGCACCAAAACCCTCTTGTCTCTGTAGAGAGTAATAGAGGTACCCACACCACAGAGCCTTCTTAGGAGGCCAGAGAGCTGCACATTTGTGCTCTTTACCAAGTGCCAGCCAATCACCCATGCAGAATGCAGTGAAGTGGGCCAGACGTGGTTGGCTGCCTTAGCATATTCTCATTACGTCTGACATTTTTGGAGTTCAGAAGTATTCGGCACTTTTTGTGTTTAGGGAATCAACCATCCTGTTTTCTTTTCAAGAATTTAAGCAAATAATGTTTGGAAGTTAAATACAGTCATGGTGGGGGAGGGTGGGGAGAAAGTTTACACTGTGTAGAATCAGTGTTCTTTGCCGACTGGGAAATCAACTTTGATCTGGGACAGAATTTGTAATTTCTGCACAATACGAGTAACCATCCCTTTATTTCTGAGGGAGAGGTGCCTGTCTGGGTCAGACAGGCTCATCCACCCTTTATGGACCAGGGTACTTCTTGATTTGGTAGGTTTGAGAAAATGATTAGATTACACGCCTCACAAAAGCCCCTGAAGACAGCAGACTTCTTCACCACTTACAAAGAGTGAGCAGCCGCAGGTCTTAGTGCACCAAGCCCTTACAGAGAAAGGAAGAGTAGCTAAATATACTCATCTATGCTTAAGAATAGTTTTATCTATTTAAAGAGAACATAAAAATTTCAAGAAGAGAATCTATAAGCCTACTATTTTTATAAATACACTTTTAATGAAAATCTACAACCGCCTTTCCGTTTACCTCCCCCATCCATATTTAAATGCTTTCTGAGTGCCCCAGAAGACCCTGATGATATCCCCAGTGGTCAGACAGTCCCGGCACTCACAGCATCTATTAACACAAACAAACACATATACAACTAATTGGACAAATAGGTGAGAAAGTGATGGGGGCTGTGTGTTAGCAAGGGCAACAACACAGCTTATTCTAGTCTACAAGGATGAGCAAGGGTCCCTTAAACATTTTCCATGGCACAGATAACTCAAAAGCAACAGATAGAAATAAAAGTATGATCCCTCCTTTGGTGAGCTCAAGATGGGAGGGGAGGACAGCAGTCCTGCAGGAAGAGGCCCCAGCACAAACCAAGGCAGAGCAACACATAACATGTAGCCTACCTGTGGACAAACAGAGCTCCACATCCAAAGGTAAATGGCTTTCTGGTTGTGGACTATTCCTACACTCAGTAAATGGAAATGTAACTTGAAACAAAGTAAAACTTAATTAGGAAAGTAACCCAGTGCTTAAAAGTTAGCTTGCATTCGTGGACTGGAAGATTTAATGTTGTTAAAATGTTCGTGCTACCCAAAATGATACAAGTCCTATCAAAACTCCAGTGACATTTTTCACAGAAATATAAAAATAACCCTAATATTCTTATGGAACAATGAATACCCTCATCTAAACACACTCAGTATCTAAGAAACCCTTGAGAAATCAAGTTCACATAAAACTAACCATCAAAAACAAACCATCATCAGTGCAGTTGCTTAGTTTACAGGTATCAGCATATATAGTTAGGGTGAGAATCCTACCAATTCACTGCTAGTTTCAAAAACATGCTGAAGATTCTCAGGATCATTGCCTTATCCATCTGGTGCTCATAGATGTATGGTTTTGCCCCTGTCATGTGTCCTAGCTTTTTTCCTTGCCCTCTCTTCATTATCTAATCCTCAAGTTCTCGCTTTCTTTTTCACTGTGTTATAACTTTCTATTTGTATTTCTTCTTTTGATTTCTTATACTAGAAAGACTACACGAGATTTACACATGTGGGTCTGGTTTATTTCACTTATGAGTATATCTTCAAGTGGCATCCACTTAAATATAAAGGCTTCGAGTTTATCATTCTTTATAGCTGAGTAATACTCCATTGTATACAAATACCACCCTTTTTCATCCATTCCTCAGGTGACAGGCATCTTGGTTGTTTCCAAGATTTGGCTATCACAAATTGTGCTGCTATAAACATAGGTACACATATATCACTATGATACGATGTGTTCAGATCCTCTGGGAAAATTCCCAGTAGGGAGATAGCTGGTTTGAATGAGATTTTGAGTCCTAGTTTTTAAGGATTCTCCACTCTGATTTCCATAATGGTTGCATCAGTCTACATTTCCACCAGCAGTGGAGAAGGGTTCCTTTTTGCCCCACGGCTTCTCCAACATTTATTGTTGGTTGATTTCTTTATGATAGCCATTCTTTCTAGGGTGAGATGGTATCTCAGTGTTGTTTTAATTTGCATTTTATGAATGACTAGTGATGTGGAGCATTTTTTCATAAATTTATTCACTTCTTTAATTATGCCTGGTGAGAAGTATGCTCACCTCAGATGCCCATTTCTGGATTGGGTCTTTAAATTTTGGGGCTCTAATGTTTTTTAGTTCTTTATAAATTCTAGAGAGCAAACCTGCAGCAAAGATAGCAATGGGTAATGGTAGGGTCATGCTGGGAATGCCTGTCATTCTGGTCTTCTAAATAAGTTCTGTTTGTCATGACATACCAATTACTGCCATGCTGTCTCTCAAGTAGATGTTTGTTTGTTTGTTTTTTTAAAAAAGGGGGGTATAAATGAAAAACAAGGGACAAGAAAAAAAAGTCACAGGACTGTCCTGCTACAATGCTGTATATGGTTAGATTTCTAAATTTCTGTGTAAAAATATGTAACTGTTTATTCCCATTTTTTAATTTTTTAATTTTTTATTTTTTTTCTTCATATTCTTTAGGGACTTAAAGTTTAACATCTCAACACTTGATGGAAAATACCTGTTCCATGTTATGACTTAGATGTTTGATATTCAGACAGATAATGAAGTTAAGTTCTACAGCCTATGGTGTAGGGTAATAATAATAAGATTCTCTTCTGGAGGGTTAACAACTTAAGTTTACAGACCAAAAGTTAGAGAAAAAGAAGGGCTACAAGGACTGCCAACATTTTGGCCCTAGCCTTTCAAGTTTGGTGAAGACTCAGGACATAGAAGAACCTATAATTCTGTTTGTCCCAAATTTTCTGATCAAGAAGATTATGGGGTCACAGAGGAAAGTGATCAATGATATAGAGTGTGCCTAAGGAGAGTCACAAGGAGAGAAAACATTCTCTCAGGCTTTCACAGAGAGCAAATGGGTCAAGCAATGGCCGTGACTCATCCACATGGCTGACACTGACAAAGGATCTACAAACTGCGGTACAGGGTTTCATGATAAATCCTAAGGGAATTTGACTGACCTTACCAGGTACAAAAGTTACATTTCTTGTTATATAGATCTTGCTTTATCTTGGTCTTAACCATCTAGCAGAAAAGTATAAAAATGAGGTATAAAAAGTAATGCCATATTAGTAAGCTGAGTTGTAAAAGGCTCAAGTCAACAACTTCTGACATTGCCAGTCTTACGGAAAACCCACTACTATTATGGACTACTGCACTACATTGGAATATTTTGCTGAATTCACGCTCCTACAATATTTAAATGATGAGGGAATACCCTTCTCTGGCAAAACTTAACAAAAAAGGGGGATACAAATGAGCAATCATTTTGTATATCTATATTCAAAATAGGATAGATATACAGCTGTGTTCTCATTTCAATGAATAGAATGATTTGTTCTAGATTTGTTCTAATAATGTTTGTGAACAGGATATCATATCTTCATCTTTTACAATAAATAACCACTAAGACAACAATATGCAATGTATTAATTATTGAAACTGTGCTAGTAATTGGTTTTGAAACTGTCTCATTGCTATTTGTTTCTCAATAAAATTATTTTTTAAAAAAGTCAGAGGACCAGCCAAATAGCTCAGCAGATTAAAGTGCCTGGAGGCAGGCAAAGGGGCTGGGGTTCTATCCCCAAGCCTGCCATGCCACCCTCACCCCTGGGGTGCACTGAGACAGCAATTGAGACTGGGCATGATGGTGTATGCCTATAATCTCAGCTGTTGGGAGGCTGTACACAAGAGGATCACTACAAGTCCAATCTAGTAGACCTGCCATAAAATACAAAAGAAAAAAACAAAAACAAAAAAAAGCAGGTAGAGGGTGCCATTCTTTCACATCTAGCATATTCAAGACTCCAGGTTTTGAATATGTGACTATTCACATAAGTGAATAATTGCTATAAGTAAATTTTTCACCTCTGTGTCCAAATCCCTAAGCAAAACAACTTTACTTTTTAATATTAAATTTATTGAGAAAGAAATAACAATGAGACAGTTTCAAAAGAGGTTAATAGGACAGTTACAGTTACAATAATTAATACTTTGCATATTGTTGTCTTTGTAATAGTTACTCATAGTACAAGATGCAGATATGATATCTTGTCTTAGCACTATTACTACAAATCTTTCTTTTCATTCAACTAAGGGAAAGTAGCTATATATCTATCTTAACTTTGTATATATATATATTTTTTTTAATTAATTTTATTGAGAAACAAATAGTAATGAGACAGTTTCAAAAC